GGGAGGGGGGGGGCTCAGGTGCCCAACACGCCCCGGCTAGCAGAAGGGTTCCCGTCGGCCAGTCTGCCTGGGAGCAAATCTCACGACCACCATCTCTGCCAGTAACACGATTTCTGTTGAGCAAGGAGCCTGGCTGGAGATGAAGGATTGATCTTTTGCGGCGCTGCTGCATTTCACTGCGGGCCGTTTGATAACGTTTGGTAACTCCGGCAGAGACGAATTTACAGGCAAGACGCACGGACATGTTTCTACCAAATCGAATGAACGTTTACACTACGTTCTTACGAATCAACACTGAAAGATATACACTTAAAAGCTACGGGAAATTTTGTAAAATTAAAATAGGAAATTGTTAAAGCACATGTGTATCGATTTGGAATTCATTGAGAAGCAAGAACGCACATTTGTATATTTTGAACATTTTTTGGGGTGGGGGGGGGAGTCGGAAAATGCAAAATATGTTCATAAATTTACAAGGATATTTTTACAAAGAGAGACAAACTGTTCAAAACACTACGGGGAAATTTTCACATTGAAAAATGTGATGTTAGGTTCCTCTGTGATTCAATATAGTTTAGAACCTTATATCATCTTTTCTCCTTAAATCATGTTCCGTCAATTTTCTTAGTAAACTACTTCACTTGTACTACTCTGGTAAGAAGTTGCACCCACAGGTTTAGGACTCACCTACTACGGAGAGGTACATGGAGTGGCCGATGGGCGGCGTGGTGGACACCTGGCACTCATAGATGCCCGAGTCCCTGAGCTGCGGGTAGCGCACCTGCAGCGTCCAGTCCTCGGTCTGCGGCGAGTGGCTCGCGACGAACCGCTGGTCGGACGTGTACGTGTAGCGGCCCACCGTCAGCAGGTGAATGTCGTGGTGCCGGACCCACGAAACCTGTTCAAAACAGGAAAACGGACAGGTTTATTACACTTTAAAAATTATTGTAGGGTTTAGTGCGGGAAAATTTTGCGCAAAACGTGTGTCGTTAAATTACAATTCTAAATTGTAAAATGACAAGCACTCATGAATCGACGTGGAATTCATCGAGGAACAACTTTGGGTTGTCATAAATTTACAACTTGTTTTTTCAATGTTAATAAGACAATATATAGTAAATTTACGAGGATCCTCGTAATATCGATATTTTTCAAAGTGAGACGAGCGCCATACAAGAAAGACAAGCATGTGTTTTCTACAAAAACGGTGAGGCCATTGTGATGAGGTGAATGCTTGCGGAAGGAATTCGGTGCACTGAAATGATCGTCTCTGCGCGAGTCGAAGAAAGCCGATGGAATAGAAAATATTTTTTTAGAATAGGCTGCCGCTGTGCACGCTGTGCAGCGTCATCGGGCAGCACGGAAGCTGATAATGACCATGATAATACTAGCAGTTGACTTTTTTCTGAGACGCAATTAGAGGGGTTAAAAGGGGGAGAGAGAGGAGAACCGAGGGCACGTGACAGAAATAGCTAAGAGAGCTCAGAGAAAGAGAAGAAGTATGAATGGACAATGGACTTCTGAGAATGGGGTGGGGGTGGCAGATATTATCCAGGCCTGGAGGGACAGTGGTATTTGGCGGGGAGACACATGCAGTCCAGTAAGGGTTGAGGGGGAGGGGCCGCTGGAAAGGGGGGAGGGGGTTGACGAGGAAGGAATGGCTGGCCGGGGACAAGGGCCGATCGCATCCAATAAGTGGAAATTCCTTTACGCGGGGCCTCCGCTCCGCCGACGATCAGCGCATCGGACAACAGAATAGAGAGAAATGAGAGAATCAAGAAATAAAAAAAAGAAGGTAGTGGAAGGAAAGAGGCGGGAGATGGTGTCGGCCTGGTGGCGATGGCCCCTGCTGCTGCTGCTGCTGCTGCTGCTGCTTCAAGTTAGTCGGCGTCTCCCCCGTCAACGTGGGGACTGGAATAAAATCCATAAAAACAATAGAAGTCGACGAGGGAATGAGATCCAAGCAGGCTTTTGTTTCTCCACATTTTGACATGAAAGCGTGGAAAACCAAGACAGTTGTTCCATGGCGTTTGCTAATTTGTGCCGCTGTAGCATTATACGAAGCTGAAACCCTCAGACTGAGTGCCCTTTTCATCCCTCACATCCTCGCCATAAAGCGTTGCAGCGTCACCGCGCCTTGTCGGCGCACCCAATTTCTCATACCGGCGACCCGACCACGTGCCGGAATGCTCCGGCGGTCCAAGCCACAACAAAGGCGGGAGCGCGTGCGTATGGCTACGAGCAGGAGCTAGCCCAACGCGCCCACCTCAAAACGCTGGGTACATAATGCAGCGTTACAAACGTTACTGCGTCAACCGTTGGAAGGCGAGAATGTGAGAAACGTTAGACCCGTTAAAGATGTAAAAGAGCACTCTAGAAAAAACGTTTGAAAACGTTAAAAGCGTTGAGACTGTTGAAACGTTATAACCGTTAAAACGTGTTAGAAGGTGTCTGAATGATCAGGCAGCATAGAATTCTTTCCAAAAAGAAAAACAGGACAGTCGTTTAGGTGCCGATAACTCTTCATCCCCTCCCCCTCATCCCATGCCACGGCCACCACAAACTCCTTCTGTGTTGCTGGCCCCTGCAGTGTTTCCTGGCTGTGGACCGCCTTTAGTAGCAGGCCGGCGGCTAGGCCTGCTGTTTACGTCGTCGTCGTGGTTCTCCACAGTTCGGCAACTTTTACCAGGGGTCCGGGCCCGACCCAAACTAATTGCCTGGAGATAAGGGAAGGCCACTATCGCCCCCCAGAATGGAGGAAGAAGAGGGTGAGAGGGTTCAGGAGGGCCCGAGACGGAGAGGGGGGACTCAAGGACTGACCAGGGGTAAGGGCGTGGCAGGATGATGACCATTAGGCGCATCGAGGTAGGGCAGCAGCAGCAGCTACAATGGGTCGGGCTGTACTCTCCGAGTAGCAAGTCGAGTCGAAAGGCTAGAGTACACACATTAAACGGCTGCACTTCTTACCCATACCCCTCACAGCATGAGTCAAAGAGAATTGCTCAGAATCGAGTTCGCTACTGCTACATATTCATTTCTTACAGGATAATCTGACACGTAACCCCCTCTTTTTTTCGTAGCGGAGGCAGTTGACTACTCTTATTCACCATGATATTTGGGTGAAGGGGGCAGCATCTCTCTCTCTCTCTCTCTCTCTCTCTCTCTCTCTCTCTCTCTCCCTTTCTCTTCCCCCTCCGAGGTACTGCGGCAGCGTTTCCCTGCTGTCTCGGCGTGGAAGGTAACGGATCGTGCCATCGGGAGGAACTTCCACGGCGCCGACACGCCAAGAATCGAATGTCACGTCAAATCCACTTGTGTCACTTCGTCTTGTTTTCTTATACCTCCCTCTTATATTTTTTTTTCTTCTGCTCTCTTTCGTTACTTTTATTTTCCTTCCCGCCATTTGTTTCGTCCCAGGCCGCCGGCCCTCCCCTTCCGGTGGGTCGGGACGCTTCCGGTCAGGGATGCTTGTGGCCGGCTGTGGGGTGTCTCCCCTCGATCGTCTGCCCACCCCATCTCTCTCGCTCTCCATCCGCCTTCTGCTCCCCTTCGCGGTCGTAGGAGGAGACCTCACCGCCTTGGCTATTCAACTACTCGAGGGCTACAACCAGCGAAAGCGGTAACGGAGTATTGAGTGCCTTTCCCAACCCGTCCCTGCCGAGCTCCTTCTTTGGTGCTTGTTTGGTGAAACATCGCAAGTCTCTCTCGCTCCCCTCTACTCTGTCCTCTCCCTGGGTTCAGGCGGTGCCTTCCGGCCGCCCTTCTCCCGTTTGAGAGAAAATTGGGTTCTTCTTCGTAGAGGTAAGAGAACCGCCCCCTCCAGTCGTCGGTAGTCTCCGAGGGGGTTTTCACTCGAGATTTCCGTGCACACAGTATTTCGTAACACGTGTATTTCGTCGGTATTTCTCAGGAAAAGTTCACCGTTTTGGAGCATATTTAGGCGTATTTCGGTGTATTTCATGTGAAATACCTGTGAAATACCTCATTTGGTGTACGCGGTATTTCAGAAGTGAAAACCCCCTCGGTAGTCTCTCTGCCAGTCACTGAATGGGATGAAGGTTGCAGAACATGAAGTCTAATTAACTCGTACCTCCCAAAGTGGCAAAGTTACCCTTAAGATGCCCAAGCACATCTTACCGCTTTTGTTTTTATTTTTTCGTCAGCTTAACCAAACGATGGCGTTTGGCAAATCCACGTGTGTTGGCTAGCCATTTACACCATGCGTTGACAGGGTAGGAAACAGCTTGGGCGCGCAAAGGTCTGCTTCTCTGGGATCTCGCCAACATGCGTGCACCAAGTGCAAAGTTGGTGGCTTCAGTTTCTTTTCTAGTTTACCTCGAGTACGGAAGGAACGCTCTCCAAGAGCAGCAGCATCCTTCACGGCAGCCCGGGAAGTAATGTGAGGCGGTTCCTGGTAACTTACAGGTTAGACACTGCGTGGCAAACGAACACCCGCTTCTAAATTGTATATTGTTTTAAAGAAATTCCCACGAGTGGCCAAACAAACTTTGGCAGATGGTGTACCGAAAGACGGTATGTCAATCAGGAGGACGCCGTCCCAGAATCAAATCCTCATCTGGAATAATTTTTAGCTTATCCAAACAAGCACAATTTTTCATGAGCGACATCGCCGTGTTTGCCGATTCGTCCCACTCCAGCAGCAGCTACAAGGAAGAGTGGGATGCAGAGAAGGAGAGGAGGAGAGAGATGGCCGCCCGAGAAGGGAAATCTGCGATTCGCATGACACGGCCCAGCCTGGCAAAGAGATTACCAAGGGATGCTCATTGGTAGCCTAATGAATTCTGCTCTAGTGAGGCGGTGGTAGCTGTTGTGATGGTGGCAGCAGCATCAGCAGCCTCGTACAATTTCTTCATCCAATAAAATCCCAGGCCGTGCTTTGCTAATTCGAGCTCGGCCGGCGCGCGCCTCCTGTTGAAAAATACACCCGTCTCCCGTCAGCGAGAACGACGAGTGACGAGGTGCTCGAGGAGAAGCGGACGGGTGATTGCTAGGGTTGTGCCGTGACTGCCGGGACAGGTTGCTCCCCGCTCGTGTATCGGCACAAAGCTGGCAATGGTTACCAACGTGCAGCCGCACCTAGATTTACGTGTGGATCGTAGAATGGCACTATACGTCCACATGGAAATGAAAGTTAACCAGAGACCTATTTTCTACACAACAAACTCAAGAGGGTGGAGAGGGTGAGGGGTGAGCAGCACCCCCTCCCCCTAACGATACCGCCTGGGCCCCCCTGAGCTGAGGTCGGTCTCCAGTTTGTTAATTTGCGATTGGACCGCTCCTCCCAAAGCACCCGGGGGCACTCCTCGATCGCCTAGTGATTAGGACGGATTAAGAGAGAGGGAGAGGAATAGTGAGAGCGCGCGCCCGCACAAGAGAGAGAGAGAGAGAGAGAGAGAGAGAGAGAGAGAGAGAGAGAGGGGGGGGGGCAAAAAGTAGAGAATTCAAGGAAGATACCGCAGGAGGCTATGGCTATGCGAATAGAGCGGAGAAGAGCCCGGGCGGGGAAGAGAAGATGAAGGAAAGCCTGAGAGGTCGGATATAGAGTCATGTCGGGAAATAAATACGCAAGGTGAAACATGTACTCTCATGTTTTTGAGTGACTGGAATGACTGGTGACTTGGTGACTGAATGACATGTCTTATGTTTTGAATTAAAAAACTCACCTTGACACAACAAGACGTATGTACTCATAACGTGCCACAAAGCTCCCCATCCCCCAAAAATTAATTAATTTTCCACGCTGATCAGCTGCAACCCGGTTCACACACAAGAATGAAAAAGATCCTGTATCACAGTGTTTTTGCAGTGTAACTGGCATGCGGAATGTGGCGGGCGACTAATGGCCCTCTTGGCTCGGGGAATGCGCCGGCTCGCGTGCAATTCGAGAGGCTTTGGCAGGAGGCGCAGCCGTGGGGGTGGGGATCAGCGGGTGGAAGAGGGGGAAGAGGAGGAGGAGGCGACGGGGAAGGGAGAGGAGGAGGAGGTGCTGGCGGCGGCAGCGTGGCCGCGGCACCTGAGATGGACGCCGGATCCATATTCATGAGCCGCAATACAGTGCCTCGCCGTATTGTGTGTCGCCGCAGCCCCCCCGATATACCGACTCACGCCGGACCAGCGGCACCATGCCCCCCTCCCCCAGCGCTTTGCGATGCGACACACTTTTCGCTTCCTTCTCCCGGAAGAACTCGCGTCATTGCGAACAAGAAAACAAACTATCACGACATTATATGAAGCGAGAGTATACCCGACAAACAAAAGTATGGTGGCCTTGGCATTCGAACACTTATGAGTGCAATACTTTATGGCACGCGCAAAAAGGCACTCTACACGCTTTATGCATTATGTTGCGAATACTGAAAGAATATGCAAAGTCAAAAATGTGTCAATACTTATGGTGTGCCAGTCAA